TCTAGCTGACTTTTTGAAATTTATATTTTTGAAATAATCCTTATAAAATTTCTGAACTTAGACAAATTCCTCCATTTTAATAAGATGAAATACTTTATGCTTTTTGCAATACTTTAAACACAGCTAAAACATTTTGTATTCTTTGCATTTAAAATTACACTTGTTAGGTCTTAACTTTTAGTAATCTTGCTTTAATGAAGACCTAGAAACAAAGCAATCTTAAAGTCCTTTTTTTCCCCATTTAATAGTTTCTAAAAACACATTTAATACTCAAATATATATTACCTTATGGAATTCAAGAAGTCAAGAGTACTTGAATTTATATTTAGCAGTTGATGTTTTTGTATTTTAACTTTGTAAATTAATCATATTTCCTTTAAAAACATTTATGAAAACTAATCATATTTGTTTAATCTAATTTTTTTAAATTTATTTTTTAGCTGTAGTTGGACACAATAACTTTATTTTATTTATTTATATGTGGTGCTGAGGATCGAACCCAGGGCCTCCCATGGGCTAGGCAAGCGCTCTACTGCTGAGCCACAACCCCAGCCCTAATTTATTCATTCTTAACTGTTAACTTTAGGTTACCCATAAAAAAAAAAAAATCAAGATCTGAGACAAGTGTAGTTAATAGAAGCAATGATGATACACTTTAAATATTGTATAGAAACCAACATTCTTTTGATTGACTCACTACCTAGAAAAACGTGTTAGTAATGTTAAAGACATCTTTATTCTCATCTGTTTAACCAATTTAAATAAACTTTTTCTTAGATGTTTAAGTCAAGCGAACTAAAAAGTATTTGAATCCATTTATTAAATTTATGAGCACCCATTTATCTATAAACCAATTTTGATACCATGCACATGATAAACACAAGCATGTATACAGACACATGACATACATTATACAGATGTGCATACATACATAAAACAGGAAAAAAAATCTTGTAGCTTTTTGTAGGTACTAGACCTCCACAGGTAGGACACAAGAGCTATAGATGTTTATTAAGAATCTCTATTAGTCTATTTTTAATTTCTAAAGGGTTAAATCTATCACAGATTTTTACAGTATGACCCAGATAGGAAAGGGAACATTAGGAGTAGAGTCTGCCAGCCATAGCAAACCCTGAAGTCAAAGGTTCCAGTCATTCTTCATGGGGCAGATTTACTCCCCCCATCACTGTTGATTTTTTGCTGCTTAGGACTCCTCAAAAGAGAAGATCTCTTTCTTTTTCTGGTGTATTTGAGAGTTAACCCTGAACAACTGGCCTGTGAATAAAGATAGCAGAAAGAGAAACAGAGGGCAATAAACTTCAGTTAGACAAAGCAAGACTAATTGGTATGGAAGCCAAAGTGAATTTATCACTGAAAAAAATTGAGCTCAGAAAGATTGAAAAAAAAAAAATGATATGGTCTTAATTATCCTACAAAAGGAGTACACAGAAAAACCTTAGCAGACCAGAGTGTACTCTTGGATCAGATTAGAGTCAGCCCAGATATTTAAAGAATGTGGGAATCTGTGAAGTCCTCAGAAAAAAAGTATTTTTTTTTTTTTAAAGAAAACTTGTACTTATGGAATCTTTCCATTTTCCTCCCTTATGCCCAACTGGAGAAAAGAGTAAAATCACAAGAAGTAGGGTGTCCCCTGGTATTACCAGGTCCCTCACTCTTTTATCAGGCATTTGCAGAAAATTGCAGAGCTGACCCCTACAGCTTGGGGCAAAGCCTGTATTGTCCCAAGGCACAGTGCATACCTCTTAAGCATCTTTAAAAGGTCCAGGACCCAGTCTAGCTGGCCTTTCCAGATCCCCTCTATCTACCTCTCCTGTTTTCTAGCATTAGGGAGGCACTTAGCAGAATCCCAGAGTACAACAGATAAAAATAACCATTTGTGCCCCATAGCAGTTTAGATTTAAAAGTGACACTTTTCTTCTCTGGTCTCAAATTAATTGGGCACCTGCTCATGTAGTTCTTTGCCTAGTGACCCCTTGGAGGGCCAACCTACTCTGAATGAAGGCAGTCTGGCATTTTTCAGGAGTCAACTCCATAGTCTCTAGAATATCCCATTAAAAGAAATATTTTTTTAATCATACAATCTTGGGGGAGGAGTGAGTTTACTCTGCCACCCGTTTCCATGATAATCACATGCAGAAGAAGGAAAAAGGGAAGGGGTAAATAATCCCTTTGTATGTCTCCAGCCGCTTTCCTCATGGAGAGATTGCAGGCATCTCAACATTGCAGGTTGGTATAGACCCCCCAACCTGGACCAGGTTCAGAGACCTAAAGGAAAGACTTGTGCTGCCCTAAGCCGTAGGAGGATCACCATGGACCTACGGATCAGGACTCTGCCTTCACTTTGGGCTCAGCCAGTCTTATTCAGTCACCATTCACTCACATTCAAACTGCGTCTCCAACCCACCCAGTATCTTTAGAGTTGTGGCTTCATCTTGTGCTATCAAGACTACTTAGGGCAACTCTAGGAAGTGATCAGGCTCCCCTTCTTCCACTTAGGGGTAGGTCTACCTCTTGAACCTGGGTTTCTACCTGTCCAAAGGGCAGTAGGTGCTCCCTGCACTGGTTCCTGGACCCTATGGTGTTCCTTTGTATCCTGGGGTCTTCGCCCTGGCATGCCAAGAGGGCTAGTCTCCTATGGATCCATTAGTCTGCTGGTGCCAGATGAGGTCACTTCTGGCATCCCAGGGCCTGCACTCTGGTGACAAGGGAGGTGAAGTCAAGCTCTGAATCCCAAAACACAAACCCTCAAGAAATGTTGCAGGATTCTTGCACAGAGAAACAGGACAGCAAGGCTTTTAGCAGGAAGCAGTGTTTATTAGGGCTGGCACTGGCTCAGCAGATTTGCATCCAAAGGCTGAGCCCCAAGCACAGCTGGGGCATTGCCTTATATACCCTTTCTTAGTTTCTTTGACTTGTTAGCCCCTCCTTAGTCTCCCACATAGGTAACACAGTTTGATTAGGTATCCTAGGCTATAGAGTTGCAAAGTTGCAACAGTTACACATGCGCACAGATATTCACTGTGCCGTGTTGCCTTGTCCTTTATCTTAGGAGAGTCCTTTATTCTGGGAGGGTTATTACCACTGTATGGGCCCAGATGTTGAAAAGGGAGAGGCAGTGTTGGTTACTTCAGCACCCCTTCAGTGACAGTGACACCCAGTTTGCAGCAGTGTATGGTCAGACAAAATGCTTAGGTAGGACTGTGATGGGAACCACATATGTAGGGTGGCAGCAGTGCTTATCTCTGCTGCTTGCATGGCAGTGCTTGACCTGGAACAAGACCTCAACCAGAACTAAGCAAAGTTCCCTTGGAGCCCCCTGTGTGCACCTGTGGGCAGGGAGACAGCAGAAGGCACAGTTGCTCAGGGGCTTCTCCTTGCCCTTGGGCAGTAATGGGAGTCGGTGTTTCCTTCCTTCCCTTTTAGTAATAGGCTCCTGAGCTGGGAGCCGAAAGGCAGGAGGAACCCATGGATCTTTGCCCTCAGTCCTGGCACTGGGATGAGTTCACATAGGGCTGGCCACACCTGGTCTCGCAGGGCAAGTTCCCTGGTCTCATGATTTTTAATATTTTTTTAGTTGTCAATGGATCTTTTATTTATTCATATGTGGTGCTGAGGATCGAACACAGGGCCTCACACATGCCAGGCAAGCGCTGTACCACTGAGCGACAACCCCAGTCCTGGTCTTCTGATTCTTAAGGGCCGTGTCCTCTGTTTTCCTCCTACAACGTGTCTCCAATTCTGCAGAGCACCCAGTGGCCTTGGGTTGCTGTCACTCTGCTGGACCAAATTGGATTCACGAGGCAGCTTCCTCCTGGCTCCTAGGGCTGTTTAAATTTAGATACTATTTCCCTTTTTAAGATGGTTCCTGGCTCCAGCACCCTGGGTGGTTTGCTAGATGTGAAGTCCTTTTCCAAAGCCACAATACTGTGCAGATTGCAGGTTACTTATCTAAGTGGGCTGCAAGTCTGTGAAGATTGTGAAACTTTCCAATACGTAGGATTGCTAGCATCAGTTTTTTGCCCTTATCTACCTCCCCTCTCCCCAGCTGTGGAGCCAAGGTGGAACATGCTATGGTATTTTTTTCTTTCTTTGCTGCTGTTCTTGTCTTTCTCTTGCTGATTCCCAGTATTCTCCCATGGTCACTCATCTCAAAATGCAGCTATACATCTGTTAATTTGGCTTTTCTTTGTGGAGGAGGCAAGTGCTGAACCCGTCTACTTGGTCATCTTGTTCTCTGCTCTTTGTGAGATGTGTGCTATAAAAGATATTGAATTAATATTATAGTCAGGAGCCAGAAAAAAACTTTAATATTCAGATATATTTATTTTCCTGTCATACTATATAGAACTATAAAATTTGATGGCTAAGGATCTGAATTGTACTTCTGTTATCCTAAATACCATGATTATAGTATAGTAAAAAATTACCAATTACAACAAACAGATGTGATGTAGGAGGCCACTGATTCAAGCACAGCCTCCAGAAGTAGGTTGTTTGGGGTGCTAGGAATTAAGCTCAGGGTCTCACACATGCTACAGCTACACCCCCAGCCCAGCAATAGGTGTTTTAATAAAATTTTAAGCCCCTCCCCAACTTGTTTTTTGGGGGGAGTATACCAAGGATTGAACTCGGGGCACTTGACTACGGAGCCACATCCCCAGTGAGGCTGGCTTTTGAACTTGTGATCCTTCTGTCTCAGCCTCCCGAGCTGCTGGAGTGTATGGGAGGTGTGTACAGCGCCCAGCCCTAACTTGGTCTCTTTATCTTAAAAGACAGAATGATTTGGAGGCACATATTATTAAGTGCTATATGCAGGAAGAAAGCAGTAGCTTGAGTATTCTTTAGATCTAGTGCTAATTACAGGTATAAACTTTTTTGGCTGGCATGATTTCTTTGGAGAAAGTATTCCTCTGATCAGTAATCACCAGTGGACAATTGCAAGCTAGGTGAGGAATGAGGTTAATAAAATTCAGTTCTCATTTAACTATTATAATTCAATTTATTTTGTGGGGCTTTTCAACTCTAACCCCACTTGAGCAAAAATTTAACACACACAAATGAACATTATGTACAGCAGTCCCCCTTACCCATGGTTCCCTTGGTTATTCCAGATCAACCAGTCTAAAGACATAGTACAGCAAAATAAGATATTTTAAGACACCACATTCACATAACTTTTATTATGGTATAATTGTCCTATTTTGTTATTTACCTAATTTATAAACTTTTATCATAGGTATGTATATATAGGATTCAGTACTGAGGTTTCAGACAACCACTTGGGGTCTTGGAACATATCCCCCTTGGATAAGAGGAGGGGAATATTGTACATCCATTTCTATTCTGTGTGTCACACCTTCAGGATAGGTGATGACTTATTTAAAGGATTTTTTTGTGTGTGTTGTTGTTGTTTTATTTATTTTTTGGTACCAAAGATTGGACCCAGGGGCACTTCACCACTGAGTAGATTCCAAGCCCTTATTTATTTTGAGACAGGGTCTTGCTAAATTGTCCAGGCTGACCTTGAACTTATGATCTTCCTGCTGCAGCCTCCTGAGTTGTTGTGATTACAGGTGTGCACTACCATATCCAGCAGGCTATGTTCCTTGTCTGTAGTTGTGGGTTGATGATTCTCCCAGGAGAACAGTTATTTTGTTAATCTGAATGATTGAAGCTTTCCAGTAAGGGAGGAATTACTGAATGAATTATTTTCTTCATCTTGAAGAATTTCAAATGTTTACTAGGAATTCTGTTACTTTCTATATCCCTGAAATACCATTCATGTACAAACAAATGCTTTTGTCTTCTAGCCAGACACAGGCTTAAGTAGTTTTTCAAACACTCTAATCATGGCAATATTTTATTGGTGAAATTGAGAGACAGAATGGCTTGACTCATAACTTCTGCCATTAAAACACATTTCAACTGCCCAAAACAAATTTCTTACAGGGTACACCATAGGAGACAGATGTAGTATCAAGACAAAAAAAAAACTGCATTTAGAATATACTTTAATAGCATTTACATTGATATTTTTACATAATCTGTAATTATGAGCAATATTTTATGCTTCCCCATCTTGTCTGATAATATATTTTATATACTAACAATCCAATCATATATTCTATATACTAGAAGTTGCTAGTTTTCATTCCTCTGTCACCAGGGAAAGTGTTTTTATTTATGAGAAATGGATTTAAATGCTTTGAAATTTCTTTTTAATGTAGGCTTGATTTTTTTTTTTTTCTTACAATAACAATTTTGCTTGTTTTCTAAAAACTTCATTTTTTTAAGTAATAAGATGCCTAATAATCAGTTTTCCCAGGAAAAATAAATGCTCTGATGTATATTAGGGTAATTTTTTTTTACATCATGATATATCATCTTATGAAAGCTATTCATATTTATTTTCTTTAAGAGTATTTACTGAGCCAGGCGAACTGGTACACACCTATAATCTGGTGACTAGGGAGGCTGAGGCAGGAGAATTGCATGTTATAAGGCCTCATCAACTTGGTAAGACTGTCTCAAAATAAAAAGGGCTGAGAATGTAGCTCAGTTGTAAAATGCGCCAGCTCAATTTAAACAAAAAAAGTATTTTACTGGTTGGATATTTTTTTTAAGCATTTAAAAAAATGTTTATTTTTTAGTTGTAGTCAGACACAGAACCTTTGTTTTACTTATTCAGTTTTATGTGGTGCTGAGGATCGAACCAAGGGCCTCACACATGCTAGGCAAGTGCTCTATCACTGAGCGACAACCCCAGCCCAACTGGCTGGATATTTAATCTTATTTTGTTATACATGTATTTTGGTCTAGTTTAGTCTAATTCAAAAGGATCCTAACAGAATGATGTGAAGTTCAGATTGTCTACCCCAGAGCTCTATAAGCTGTTTAGCCATTCAAGCTAGAGGCATTCATTTCAACTTTTTTATTCTGTACTTCAACTATGTAGTCATAAGTCACTTATCATGAAGGCATTTAAATGGACAACAAATAATTCTTGTCAACTGAAGAGGACTCTGTGAGTTTAACTTTTTCTCTGACCTTAAAGGTCAAAGGCAGTTAAACTTAAGCACTGCCAACCAGATTACAGGCTGCATGCTCCCTTTCCGTTCCACAGAGCTGCTCCTAGAGCTGCGCGTCATGGCAGGCACATTGCTGCTCACGATATTAACAAGCACATGACAACTGGGAGGAAGGAAAAGACCAAACCAACATGCTGCTCACCTTTAAAAGTAAAAACAGGAATGGTTTTCACTTCAGCATCTTAGAAACAGACAAACGTAAGGCTAGTAGGCAGATAAGACAGTAGTAATATTTCTACAGAAAATTGGGAGTTATAGGTTACTATGTGTGTGTACATTTCCCCAATTGTCGCCAAAGTGACTGACTACTCTAAAAAGCTGTCCTGGCATTCAGGGCTACCATGTTAGGAAAATAACCAAGATGACTTCCATTCAACCTCATTTCTCACTTTTTTTTTTTTTAAATATGACTGATGTGTGTTCATTTTCTGAAGTATGTTTAGCAAATCCTACCAGCTTGAGGCAGGTGGTCTTATTATACAGAAGTTATAAATGGCATATACAATCTTCTCCTAGCCCCTTCCCCATAAGCACTATGCACGTCATAGTAACACTTCTGTCTATGTATACACACAAATCCACTAAAAATATTTATATGAAGAAGAACCATGAAGATTTCCTAAATGTTTAGAGAAAATGCATGCAGAGTAAGCCCAGTAAAGTACAGAGCCTGTGGGATATACAAATTTTATTTTTAGTTTACATTTCCTTCAGGATAGTAACATACATGTCTTTTCCTACCTAGAGGCAAAATATATTTTCAAAAATTTAGATACTGCCACTGCATTAAATTAAAATGCTCCCTATGTAATGTACAGACAGTAAAAGCAAAAAAAAAAAAAAAAAAACCCTTACAACACATTCCATTTTTTAATATCAAAAAATGTTTCCAAGGCAACATTAAAATGATTATACCACAGTCCCTAAAATAATGTCAAGCTCTAAGAGGAAGGTACAGGGGGCTGGGCGGGAAGGCTCCATCCGTTCAAGGGTTTAGGTACTCTTCTTCTCTTCACCCAGTAAATTCACCGTAGCTTTCTTGGCTGTTAAGAGGGTAAGAAAATTTTATCAAAACTTTTGGCAATATAAGCTGTGTGGCTAAGGTAACTACTAGATAACGGAGCTCGGGTGACTCATGTGCAGATGACAGCACACATGGGTTTGTGGTCAGGGCTGTGAGGGTTTCCGTGAAATAGACCCAGCACCTCTTCTGAGCACAAATTCTGAAGACATGAGTGAAATACTTGAAGTTCATCTAGCCTTGCTTCTTTGTGTAGTAGTGTCTCCCAAACTATCTGTCCTCCTTTCTGCATCAAAAGAGGCAGAGATTCCTAGTAGCGTTCTTTGTATATTCAAATTCTCATTTGCATTTGCTACTCTCCTATGAGATTTCACTACTCATCAACCTGATGAGAACCAAGTTGTGTTGTCCCATGGTGACAAAAACTAGAAAGTCCTCGTGCCAGTACTACAAATATTTATACTAACTGGGCCACCCCTCCTATGACACATTCCAGGCCACTTCCTGTCACAAGAACCAGTGTGGTGTGTGAGATGGTGGTGGGGGAGGCTTGTCTAGAAGCTTCCAGTCAGGTTGTAAACTGTAGCTGTTTTTTTTTTTTTTTTAATATTAAGTTTTTAGATGGACACAATATCTTTATTTTACATTTATGTGGTGCTGAGAATCGAACCCAGTGCCTCCTGCATGCTAGGTGAGCACTCTACCACTGAGCCACAACCCCAGGCCCTGCAGCTGTTCTTGATGGAGCCCGGAGTCTCTCTTTGTCAACTGCCTGGAAGCAGCTCCATTTACTCAAGTTGCTAAACAAAGTTAAAGAAACTGCAGCCTCTTTCTCAATAGCCCTATGTAAAAAGCACCCAGAACGAGACATCTAAAAGGTGTCAAATAATTAGTAATTCTTATGTCCCTGATTTGGAATGTCGTATCAAATTAAATTGAATTTGAGTATTGATATACTGTATGAAAACCAAGAGGCAATAAAATGTGGGTGAACTAGACAGAAATGATATTACCATGGGTTGCCAGTTAGGCTTGGGCAAGGAAGGATAGAAAAGAAAGCTCTTAAAAAACTGGCACCAATTGCCATAAAGCATGCCTGTAATCCCTGCTACTCAGGTGGCTGAAGCAGGAGGATCATGAGTTTGAGGCTAGCCTTAGCACCTTAACAGACTGTCTCAAAATTTAAAAAAAAGAAGTAAAAAGGGCTGAGGGCCAGCTGGGGCTGCAGCTCAGTGGTAGAGCACTTGCTTAGTACATGTTCAATCCTCAGTACTGCATTTAAAAAAAAAGGGGGGGGGGGCATTCTGTCCATTTACAACTAACAAAAAATTTTTAAAAAGGGCCGAGGGTATATAGCTCAGTGGTAGAGTTCCCCAGGGTTCAAACCCCAGTGCTGAAAAATGTCAAAACTGGCAATCCACAAGTGAGAGAACACAAAGGCTGCAAGTCAGAACAAACTTACCTCTGTAGCTCACTCCCTCACTCAGAGGCGTCCTCCTGTCATTTCCCTCTTCACCAGCTTAACTGTCACCAACATCAGCCACAGTCCCACTCTGACCTCGCAACTCTTAACATCACCCCTCTCGGGGCTGGGGTTGTAGCTTAGTGATAAAAGCATTTGCTTGGCATGTGGAAGGCACTGGGTTCAATCCTTAGCACCCATGTAGAAATAAGTAAAGGTATTGTGTACATCTATAAAAATTTTTTAAAACCACAGCTCTCCACCTACTCTGCAGGTGAGTGTGGCTGTAGAAAAGCAAACACAAGTCTCAGGTGAGCCTTTCACACTGCCTGGAATCACATGACAGTGTCTCAGTCCATTTACTCTGGCAGTGTCCTAGAGAGGCCATGAGACTACAGCCATACTCCCTTAATTGCTTTTTTGGGCTGCTGTCACAGCATAATGGCAGAGTTGAGCATCACGACAGAGACCGGATGGCCCACAAAACCTGAAATGTGTATCTGGCCCTTTAGGGACAGTCTGTTAACCCTGTCCTAGACAACTGCTCACACCCATCCCCTTCCCATCACTTTTCAGTTGGCCTTCTTTCTTCTTCCTTTACTGAGGAAGTAGAAGATATTTTCTGAAGTAAAGTTTTCCTACTTAAAATCTCTACCAACAAAAACCTTGATTTCTGTTATAAAATGTTGCGGCTCCTCTGACCAATGCCTCTCTGTATTTTCAATCCTATTTCTGGTCTACTCAAGGGCTCAGCAATTGCTCTCTACTGAAGCATTCTCATTAATTTTCAGACATGTATTATTTCTCCTACCTTAAAGACTTTTAAATTTCCCAGAACCCGCGATCCATATTCCAGTTACAGCCCATTCTTCTACTCCCCTTCACATCTACTCCCCTTCACAGGGACTGTCTCAAAACAGCTGTCCATATTCCTCATGCCTTTCCCCATCTCTCCCAATCAGTGTTTTGTTCCCAGCATTCTACAAAAATCTGTTTTCTCAAGATCACTAGTGCCTTCCCCATGGCTAAGTCCAGTGGTTCCTCTTCACCTAGTTTAACTTGTCTACAGCACGTGACAATGGATCACACTTCCTCCTCTGAAACATCTTTTTGCTTGGCCCAAGGACCCCACCTTGACTTCCTTTTCCCTACTGGTCTATTTAGCTGATTGTTTCTCATCTCCCTTCTACCCACAATCCACACTTGTTTTTTGAACTCTCAACATCTGCATCCAACTGGCTGAGAAGGAATTCTCTTCTGGAGTTATCTTATTTCTCCCCACCTAAATCTGTACTATCCAGTCTTTCCCAGCTCAGTGGCAATTCTCTCCTTCCACCTGATCAGGCTGAAAAGTTTGGCCTTGACTTCTGTCTTCATGCCTGATTTTAAGCAGATCCTATTGGTTCTACTTCAGAAGTAGGTTACTTCTTACCCACTACTGCTGCTAGTACAAACCAAGGTACTACCATCATCTCAAACAGATCACTGCAATAACCTTTTAGCTAGTCTCCCAGTTTCCTTCCCTTTCTCCCTCCAATTCATTTTTTTTAGTTATAGGTGGACACAATACCTTCATTTTATCCATTTTTATTTTTATGTGGAACAGGGGATTGAACCTAGTGCCTCACGCATGCTAGGCAAGCGCTCTACCACTGAGACACAACCCTGGCCCCCATCTAATCCATTCTTAATGCAATAGCCACAGTCATCTTAATACACAGAGCAGATCATGTTGATCCTGTGCTCAAAATCTTCCAATAGCACCTTATCTTTCTTACACAGACTAAAAACCAAAGCCTTCCCACTAGCCTATAAGCTATTCTGTGATTTGTCATCCTGTCTCCATGCAGACCTTTCTGACGGTGTCGCCTCCTGCTATCCCTTACCCCTCTAGGTCACCTCCTTTACTGTTCCTACTTTAGGGCTTTTGCACTTGCAGCTCCTTCTGGAGCACTATTCCCATGGTTCCCTCCTTTACTATGTCCAAGTCTGATTCAATATAGCCCTCTTGGTAAGGGTCTCCTGATTCTCCTACTTAAAACTGTAAACATCCCTCCTGTGACTGGTACTCCCTATCTTTCTAGCTGCTTAACTGTAAGATTCAAGGATTATAGTCTCTTGGGTTCACTGGTTCATTACTAATCTAGGGACACACGCAACATCTCAACAAAAAGCATCTAAATAACTCCATCAGGGGAGCTGAGAAAAGGCATTCTCTGGGACCAAGAACAAAAACAGTCTGAACAGCACACTAAACAGGTGCAAGAGGCTACATGTAGATGAATCTCTAAAATCTCTGCCTATGGAAGGCTACTGAATGCTGCATTGAATGAGTCACAAAGGATCTTGGGAAAAGTAAAGGGCAAGCCAGGCACAGTGGTGTGTCTAGAATCCCAGCAACTCATGAGGCTGAGGCAGAAAGATTGCAAATTGGAGGCCAGTCTCAACAAAACTTTGGGAAAATCTGTTTCAAAAAGGGTTTGGAATGTGGCTCTGACTAAGCATCCCTGGTTTCCCCCCCCCCCCAAAAAAAAAGGTAAAGGGCAATGGGCAAACTTGTCCTAAAGAAATCCATTTAGTGGTCTTTGCATTTAACTAAGGAAAGCTGAGAGGACAAGAAGGCCATGAAGCCCATTGTATCACATCTCCTCCATGTGTTGAACCAAGTTGTCCCTGACTCTTACCTTCTTTAGTGATGGCATCTGCAGTCTCTTTGGCTTTGTCCTTCAGGTCCTTCATCACACTATCCACCTGAGACTGGTGCTTCAGGAAGAAAGGACGAATGATGCGCTTGTAGAGAAATTCAGCCCCATTAGAAGGACTCGGGGCCATGCACCACAACAGGAAGCCACACTGCACAGAATGAGAAGCAGCATGGTAAGAGGAGGGCGAGGGCATTCTGAGGACACGCCCCCACCACTCCCAAGGTGTGTACTGCCTCCGTCTGACATTTTCTCCAATGGTATTCCCAGTGTTTTCTGCACACTAATGGGAGGATCTTCTTGGGAAAACATGACCAGTAATGGGGTAGTAAGGAAAGAGAAGGATAAGACTGAAAAAGAAGGGTAAAACACACCAGATTCAGGATTTTAGTTTACAGCTATAAGAGACTTTATTATACAACTCTTAAACATTACATTTTCTTACACTGATTTTTATCTACATGTGTCAAGCCCTGTACAGATAAGCCTAGTGAGAACAAGCTTCATGGATATTAAGCTTATCTTGCTAAGTTAGTTACAGTAATCTGTTCTACCACAGAATAAATATTCTGCCTAACCTCAGATTCTTCTCTTAGTTTCAGTTGTTGATAGACCTTTATTTTATGTATAATTGCAGTGAAACGCAAGGCCTCATCTCAAACATGCTAGGCAAGCACTCCACCACTGAGCCCCAACCCCTATAGACTGAGATAAAAGAAGATAAGACTTATACCCTAATTACTTTAAAAAAAATTACCATTTAAATAAATACCAACTGTGCACTTTAAGTCATCTAAGCAATTTATCCCTCTCTAGGGAAATTAGCAAATCTCTGAATATTTCCTCTTAAAGTTTAATTAAGCAACATACTGAGTTATTTTTGTTTAAAAGATACTGGCCAAATTATATTCCACACAGTCCAGATGACTCATCATAAAACAGAAATCACTTCCAGGGATAGCAGAATCTGTATTTTTATCAGTTTCTTAAAGTAAATATCTCTCAACTTCTTATGTCTTAAATCAAAACTCTCTGGTTTGGAATAATGATGACTAATCCCAATGAATGCATTCAAATGATTGAGAAGTTACAATGCCTTTCTAAAATAGTGTTTTAAGTTTGTTCTAGAGATGCAGAACTGGCAGCTCACACTGAGGTCTTGCTATGTTGCCCAGGCTGGCCTCAAGTGATGCTCCTGACTCAGTTTCCCGAGAAGCTAGGACTACAGGCACACACCACTGCATCCAGCTACAAACAGGGATCCTAAGGGTTGTATATAGTGGATAAGAGGACAGGCTCAGAGAAAGGGAGTTCTAATCCTGGTTGTACCACTTACTCACCTGGCAAACCCTGAGCAAGGTACTTAACTGCTTAACTCAGTTTTTCCTGTATGAAGCAAGTATTGAGATTTTATTTTCTTATAAGAGGTAGATTTTTTAAAAAAGTATTTGAGGTGTGTGTGAGCATATTAAGAGCTTTGTCTGAAGAATACCTGTGTTTTGTTAGCCTTAAATGGAATAAAAGCAAATCCTAGAACCAATAATCTTTAAACAAATGTTCTGTAAGTACCTGAAATGAAGTTCAAAGTAATGCTAGATATATACACAAAATTAAAATAAAAGATATCTAATAAAACTATCTCAAAAATGTAAATATACAAGCAAAATTATGACAACACCATAAGTAGAATTAGTTTCCTCCATATATTCCCAAAAGGTTGAAATTTCTGGACTAAAGGAACTACACTGCCTACCTTATCAGAGCACTCAACAAAAGCAATTTACTACCATTCTCTCCAAGTCAGGATTTTAAGTCAGCTCTCTCTTCCTCTTCCCCATCAGATTCCAAAGCTCATTTATTGAGCACAGATAACTGAGAACATTCTAGAATGTTCTGTTAAGAAAGCAAAGGAAGGTGTGGCCACAGGTGAGCTAAGGGTAAAGATTCTCTACCTGTGCATAATACTATATATGTGACCAGGCAAGCCCACAAAAATGCCAATCCAGACAAGTTCAAGGTAGTGGATTAGAGGAAAGTTGCATCTTCTAGTTGTTCATGACTCAAGCAGCAGGAGTACTGCTTCTCAGTGAGACACCACCCAACAAAGTCCCTATGATGAGAGCTAAACCCCAGCTGCTAGAACCATGTATCAGCCCCACCCGGGAATGCACTGATGTCGTCTGTACAGAGAAAACTCCAATCCACAGTGCTTCCCATTCCATCTACTTTATATTGATGAGAAGGAAAGCTGGTTGAAATAGTTCTCAGCTTCAGTTCCAGGCCACTCCGTGTTGGGACTTTACTGTGACACTATAAGTATATAGCTACACAGCATCCAGCCAAGAGACAGTGTGCCTTGCTCCACATCCAAACTAATGATGCTCAAACAATACTTTAGTACAAATAACAGATAAAAACCCCAAAACAACCAGGCACCAAGATCCCACTCATGTCTCTATTTTTGCGTTAGGAGTCAGTGTCCATAACACACCAATGAGGGGTCTCTTTTGGGACTGTTGCCATACCCCTTCAGAATATTGAGTTTTTAAGTCTACAAGAGCAATCACAGAGGGAGTACCACACATCCTCTGCTATATACAAGACTAACTGATCTACGAGAATAACCCCACTCTTGTAAGACCTATAGGAAAAGTGAGATCCTCAAGCTCTGACACAATATATGCAGTATTGAAATATGCCACTCTTCACCAAAGAACTAGCAGGGAAACAATACTGAAAAAAGTCCCAACAACCTGATATCCCAGAACAATTTGCCAAGAGAAGACTGTGCCCTAAAATGGTCCACACGTAAGAGTGGAAGAGAAATCCACAGGAATACAGAAAATACGGAGGAAACAAGGTCATAACATCTTCTGAAGCTCAAGATTCACCAACAACTGACTACATAGATACTCAACTGAATGAAATACCCGATAAAGAATTCAAAATAATGATTACATAAGTTATCAATGAATTCCAAGAGAACACAGAAAAACAACTGAATGAAATTCGTATAGGATACGAACGAGAAATTCAATAAGGAGATGGAGATATTGAAAAGGAACCAAACAAATCTTGGATAGAAAAACCATAATAAATCAAAAAGTTCAAATAAAAGTCTCTAATAGAGTAGACCATGCAGAAGGAATCTCGGAGCTGCAAGACAAAGTGAGCTTGGCAGGGTGGTACATGCCTGTAATCCCAGCAGCTCAGGAGGCTGAGACATGAGGTACTAAGCAACTCAGTGAGACCCTGTCTCTAAATAAAATAATAGGGACACTCAGCCACTGAGCCATATCCCCAGCCCCGAGTTCAATCCCCAGTAGCAAAAAAAAAAAAAATTATATATATATCATGACCAAGTTGGTTTCATTCTAGGGATGCACGATGATTTAACATAACATATGCAAATCAATAAATGTAATTCCCCACATAACTATGATTTTTGTCCTCAATTCTGTTTATCTCAATAGCTGCAGAAGAAGCCTTCAACAAAATTCAGCACCCATTCATGATAAAAATACTGAAGAAACTAGGGACAGATGGGACTTACCTCAACATCATAAAGGGTATATATGACAATGACCATACTACCAACAGCACTATACAGATTTAATGCAATTCCGATCAAAATCCCAATGACATTCCTCATAGAAATAGAAAAAGTAGACATGAAATTCATCTGGAAAAATAAGAGACCCAGAAGAGCTAAAGCAATCCTTAGCAGGAAGAGTGAACCAGGTGGCATCACTATACAAGACCTTAAACTATACCACAGAGATTAACCCATATAAATACAGTTTTCTCATATTAGACAAAGGTGCCAGGGCTGGGGTTGTGGCTCAATGGTAGACTGCTGCCCTAGCATGTGTGAGGCACTGGGTTCGAGTCTCAGTACCGCATATAAATAAACGAATAAAATAAAGGTCCATCAACATCTAATAAAAATATTTTTTAAAAAAGGTGCCAAAAACATCTTGGAGAAAAGATAGCCTCTTCAACAAATGGTACTGGGAGGACTGGAAATCCATGTGTAGCAAAATGAAATTAAACACCTATCTCTCACTATGCACAAAACTCAATTCAAAGTGGATCAAAGACTTAGGAATTAGACCAGAGACCCTGTGCCTAATAGGAAAAAAAGTAGGCCCCTACTTCCTTAATAAGACCCCTAAAGTGCAAGAAATAAAATCAAGAATCAAACGGGATAGTTTCAAACTGAAAAGCTGCTTCTCAGCAAAAGAAACAGTGAGGTGAATAGAAAGCCTACAGAATGGGAGCAAATTTTTACCACATGCACATCAGAACACTAATCTCTAGGATATATATAGAACGCAAAAATATTAACTCTAAAAAAAAAAATAACCCAATCAATAAATAGGTCAATGAACTGAACAGACTTCTCAGAAGATATATGATCAATCAACAAATATATGAAAAAATTTTCAACATCTCTAGTAATTAAAGAAATGCAAATCAAAACTACACTAAGATTTCATCTCACTCCAGTCAGAAGGGCAGTTATTAAGAATACAAGCAACACTGGCTGCTCTGAAAAGCCATCTTTGCATTGTTCCTGGGTCCAGCTCCCCTCTCGCCGCAACCACCTCCGCCGCGGACTCCGGCAGCTTTATCGCCAGAGTCCCTGAACTCTAGTTTCCTTTTTAACCCACTGCATCGGATCACCGGCGTGCCCCACCATGTCAGACGCGGCCGTGGACACTAGCTCTGAAATCACCACCAAGGACTTAAAGGAGAAGAAGGAAGTTGTGGAGGAGGCAGAGAATGGAAGAGACGCCCCTGCTGATGGGAATGCTAATGAGGAAAATGGGGAGCAGGAGGCTGACAATGAGGTAGATGAAGAAGAGGAAGAGGGTGGTGAGGAAGAGGAGGAGGAAGAGGAAGGTGATGGTGAGGAAGAGGATGGAGATGAAGATGAGGAAGCTGAGGCAGCTACGGGCAAACGGGCAGCTGAAGATGACGAGGATGATGATGTTGATACCAAGAAGCAAAAGACCGATGAGGATGACTAGACAGCAAAAAAGGAAAAGTTAAACTAAAAATAAAAGGCCACCGTGACCTATTCACCCTCCACTTCCCATCTCAGAATCTAAACGTGGTCACCTTCGAGTAGAGAGGCCTGCCCGCCCG